TAATTCCAGCCATTTGAACCAGGGATGGTTGCAGTCCCTCACTAGTGTGAGGGTTGTTTATTCAGGAAGTAACACAGAACTGTGGCCCTGTAGCTATAGCGATAGTATAGCAACCCAGAGGTAGCTGTTTCCAGGTGATTGTTTCCAGAGCAGAGGAGAATTTTGCAGTGCTGAATTACAGGTTTCTAGTGACTGTGGATGAAGACTGTGTACCCACTGCAGCTCCAGGGTGTGGCAAGGACAGACTATCTAGTACACTGAAACACCTCCCTGTCCTTGCCCAAGGACGAATTAGTGCAAACCTAGATTTGAAAGGCTTGCTACTGCTGCAGCAGTGACAATGCAGTAGTAATCCCTGTAATCTGGATTTAGAACACCATCTAGTGTTGACATACTAGAAGTGACTGGAGACACAGAAAGGAGTCCCTGGCTTGAATTTCTTAAAATGTGATCTTGAAGAAAAGCAGATCATGAAGACGATACCAGTAGAAATCCTTACACAAAAAAACTTGATCATCAAGCACAACAATAAAACCCTGTATAGATAACACTTTTAAGATTCTTTCATTAGCTTTGCATTGTCCTAGGTTGAGTCTAATTGTGGATTCATACTGAGGCTCTGTGTATATTCAAGTTTTCTACATAACTCTCTTCTGGACTGGAGTTATAGGTGGTTGTGAGCCATCCATTATGGTTGCTGGGAACTGAACTCTGGTAAGAGCAACAGTCTATGAATTCATAGTCTTTTGGAAGTTACAATTTTCTAAACTGGCTAGTTCTGAAAATCAAAATTCCCAAATAAATATTGGTGTACAAGTATAAGTTGATTTAAGTATCTGTTAATAAGAGAAAATATAATATAAAGTAAATAGATATGGTTAAAATACAAAATACCCTTTCGTTATTTAAGTAACATCTATGTATGCTTGTAATATCTTGACACTTTGACCTAGTTTCACACCAAGCAGAGATTTTATTTATTCAAGTCTTTTCAACCTTTTAGTTAGTCTGATTACTTTCAAAAGTCAGTTTCTAAATCAAGATATCTGGTTTTTTTTTCCAAAGTAACTTTGGAAAATTTGAGAGGGCTCTTGTAATATCCCAAAAGATTTTATCCTCTCTCCATGTCAAAAAGGAGATATTAAGCTAAGATTATTGGATGTGCTGAAATTCACAGGAAACAAGAAATAATGTCACTCATTTAATGAGTTGCATACATAGACTGATTAAGTGTTCAAGGAATTTATGAAATTCCTAAAAAGTCTAATATATCTGTGTATAATGCTATTATTTAATTATTTAACTGTTAAGAAACACTCAAAGACTATTGGGAAAATAGATAAATACTAAATCATATCAGAAAGACTCAAATTAACTATACCTTAAAATCCATCATGTGCCATTTTTTGTGAAATCTACACATATTTAGATAAAATGTTAGAGGCAGTAAGGTATAGTGACAGACATTTAAATCTAAGAAACTGGGAGGTAGAGGCAAACTGTGAGTTTGGTACCAGCCTAGTCTATCTAGTGAATTCTAACCCACAAGGTTTACACAGTGAGACTGTGTGTGTGTGTGTGTGTATATATACATATATATATGCGTATATATATATATATATATATATATATATATATATATACGCATATATATCTGTGTGTGAGTGTGTGTGTGTGTGTGTGTGTGTGTGTGTGTGTGTGTGTGTGTACAGAGAAAAAGGGGGAAGGGGAGAGAAAGAGACAGCAAGAGAGCACTAACCAAGCTAAATCAAACAAAGAAAGAACCAAGAAGAAATGTTGGAAGCCTATGAACAGTCAGAAGTGAGAATCAGGAAGAAGATTCTTAAGAGAATCATCTTGTAACCACATTCATGTCTGAAACCTGGTTCAATTATAGAAATTGTTAAGATCATTGTTTTGCATGCTATTTATTCCTTATATCTTTTAATTGAAAGAGTATTAATAATAAATATTATGAAAAAAACTTACATAAATTTTCTTTTTCCTGTAGAATGCAGAGGTACCTAAGGGAAACCCTTGTCTTTCAAATGGCCTGTGGGTAAAGGGGGTAGAGAAGCTTGCCAAAAGCACCTGTGAAAAAGAGCCATGGATGCTCTGATTCTGTATCCACAGATCTCATACATATTACCCTCCATCCTTCAGGAAAAGAGACAACACAACAAGAAATTGCATGCTATTTATTGTGAAGCTGAAGATACAGTTATGCTTCCAGTGGTATACTTTCTTGTACTTATTTGTGTATGAAGGATATGCGGTCTTAGTGAGTAGCATAGGCTGGTCTTGAATTCAGTCTCTTGAGTGTTGTGATGACAAAGGAACAGCACCATGCACAGCTCCAGTGACATAACTTTTGAATGATATTTTCTCATTTCCTGTATACAAAAAAAAAGCCAAACTGAGAAAGACCATAGATATGAATTGTTATAGCAGAAGGTTTCTGATTCTCACTGCATTCACTAACAAGAACAGCTGGGAGCCTGACTTCAGGGCTTTTCCTTTCCTTCCCTCCTCTTCTTTCTTAATAGTGTTTTATTCATTCTTGTTAAGCACCTTGCACATTATGTTCTTTAAGCTGTAGCTTATACTGTGAGAAAATGAAGGTTATTCTTAGTCAATTTGTCTTTTAGCTGTTAATGAAAATGAAAAGTGACATATTTACAAAGTGATCATTGTTAAATGAATCAGTGACATTGAAAGGCACACAACCATCTATGCACAGGGTTTGTCAAATTATGGCATGGTTGCATAATGGATGCTGTACAATTAGGAAAATAGTGAAGATGAAAAAGAAAGCAAGAGATTGAGAAGAGTAAAAACAAAGAATTGGAGAAAAAAAAGAAGAAAGTTGGGAAGGGAGAAAAATGAAGGAAGAGAAAATACAGATAAGAGTTTTAAAGCTCAAAGAAACTTCACGATTAGCCAATGGTCCTTTGGTGCAGAAAATGAAATTTGTATTGAAGTATTTCTACTTGCTTTTGATATATGCTATTTCTGATTTTTTCCAATTCTAGCCAGTTTGCCAACTGTTAATTGCCAACTATTATAGTCTGATGGGTCATTAGGCATATTTTAAGGGTCATTAGGCATATTTTAAGGGACCCCGGGGTGGGTGGAATCCTGTAGATTAGTAGTAAACAAAGAAGTGACTGTGCACTCTTGATAAGCTTAATTGAAGACCCTTAAGCATTAATATGACTTAAATACTCACAGAAGGCCCTGGATTCTAGGAAAATAAAGTATTCATTTTTTTCAAAACATCTCTATTGAGTGACTAACATATGCTGGTACCCTGTTGGACAGTGTTCTTACTTGAGTCCACTGTTGGACATTGTTCCTACTTCAGTCCACTGTTGGACATATAGCTACTGAAGAGAAAAATTTTGAAAAATATTAAAAACAGAAAGGACCAGACAAGAGGATGAGATAATTAAAATATGAGAAAAACTGAGCAGGTAATCTAATATTTAGGGTAAAAAGACTACACTGAAGAGCGGAGATGGACCTCAGAAACATGTCCCTCCTCTCTGGCTTTTCCCATGTAATCAACACATTTTCAGTCATAAGGCGCAAAAGGCAGGAGGGAGAGCATGTGGCCAGTCTATGGGCCAGGTCTTAAACAGCCTGCAGACAGCCTCAGCAGTTCCAGGGGAGGAGCTGCAGATGGCAGGCTTTCTCGGGGTGAGGTCTGGAATGGGAGAAGTGAAAGCAGAGCTGAGCCTCCCAACAAATATGTATTCATTTCACCTAGAAAATGAGTTTTACATATAAAGAGAATTGGCAGAAAAGGCAGCTTTAAAGGTTTGGAAACCACAAGTACATACAAAGTTTCCATCTTAGAGAATAAAGTATAGCAGAGGGGTTGAGTTACTTATATTTCCAATGCAAGGTCCTTAATTTGTAATTAGACATTTCAGATTCAAGTACAATACACTAGTAAATTGTTTTACTAAATTATGTTAACAAGTTGATGTTGTAATTTGAAGAGCTAGCTGGCCCTATTTCTGTGATAGATGGCATCACAAACATTCTGGCCTCATTAGAGGAAATAAGCAGCTTGTTTATTTGTTTCTTTTTCGAACCCAGAGTCATCAGGGAGTAGCTTCACTCTGCTATGTTTATTAAATTGCATTTATTTTTTAAAAAAAAGAGTTTTAAAGCTAAATTAACCGATGTGTTGTTTTTTTAAGAAATAGATTGTTTGAAATGGGCGGGACAAGGTTTTTTTTACATATAATTTATAGGGAAAACTGATGTTTGAATATTTCCAAGATGGTATCAAAAAAGTTATCCCAAATGGGGTTTTCAGTGAGGAATATGGAGAAATATAAAATAAGATTTTTTTAAATTTAGTTGTTGTTTTTGCTGTTAGATTACTATTTTATTTTATTTTTAGTTTGAGGGTGGTTCAATGAACCAAGTAAGCATTTGAAAGTCTAGAAGGTATGTAGAAATGTAGATTTGAGTGTCACTTAACAGGGACATTAAACTGAATACTCTTGTGTGAAACTAAGGATTGTGAAGTGGAAGCGTGGAATGGGAAGTCCTTGAAGCCGAGGAAGAAAGCAGAGATCTCAGAGGAGGCAGAGGACCCCAAACCAATGCAGGTAAGAGAATGAAATTACTGGAGAAAAGAACACATGGAAACAAAGCTCCAGAAATACCAAAATTATTTGGAAGAACTTTTAAAAAGCAAATAAAAATGCTTAGAAATATTTTCTGTGGCCATGTAGTTTCACATGTTCCCAATTAATTTTGTGGCTCTGTACATGGCGAAAGTGCAGGAACGAAGGTGTTTTCTGCATGAATAAAGCATCATTCTAAGGGACACCGAACTTAGGTTAGTCAGGTAGCTGGCCTTGAGTCTTTGCCATTTGACCTATTGGAAGGATAGTGGTGCTTCAACAGGTTGAAATTGATGGAGTTGTGTAGGATTACCTCTTATTGCGGTGGTCTGTGTCAGTAGTCAGGACAAGGAGTAGTCAGATACTGGGGTGGTCTGTGTCTGGCCGAGGAGGATGAGGCTGTGTCTGATTTCCTTGGTCTGGCCGGGGAGGACGAGGCTGTGTTTGATTTCCTTGATCAGGGCGAGGAGGACGAGACTCTGTCTGATTTCCTTGGTCAGGGCGAGGAGGACGAGACTCTGTCTGATTTCCTTGGTCAGGGCGAGGAGGACGAGACTCTGTCTGATTTCCTTGATCAGGGCGAGGAGGACGAGGCTGTGTCTGATTTCCTTGATCAGGGCGAGGGGGACGAGGCGCTGTCTGATTTCCTTGGTCAGGGCGAGGAGGACGAGGCTGTGTCTGATTTCCTTGATCAGGGCGAGGAGGACGAGGCGCTGTCTGATTTCCTTGATCAGGGCGAGGAGGACGAGGCTGTGTCTGATTTCCTTGATCAGGGCGAGGAGGACGAGGCTCTGTCTGATTTCCTTGGTCAGGGCGAGGAGGACGAGGCGCTGTCTGATTTCCTTGGTCAGGGCGAGGAGGACGAGGCTCTGTCTGATTTCCTTGGTCAGGGCGAGGAGGACGAGGCTGTGTCTGATTTCCTTGCTCAGGGCGAGGAGGACGAGGTTGTGTCTGATTTCCTTGGTCAGGGCGAGGAGGACGAGACTCTGTCTGATTTCCTTGGTCAGGGCGAGGAGGACGAGGTTGTGTCTGATTTCCTTGGTCAGGGCGAGGAGGACGAGACTCTGTCTGATTTCCTTGGTCAGGGCGAGGAGGACGAGACTCTGTCTGATTTCCTTGGTCAGGGCGAGGAGGACGAGGCTTTGTCTGGTTACCTTGGTCAGGGCGAGGAGGACGAGGCTGTGTCTCATTGCCTAGGTCAGGGTGGGGTGGACGAGGCTGTGCCTGGCTGCCTCCACCGTGAGGTGATTTTGGGTGAGTTGTTTCCTCTTGGCTTTCACTGCTAGCAGAGGGTCCAAGTGGATGTCCTTCAGGAAATGGTCTCAGAAATATGTACTCATCTTGATCCTTAGTCTCTGTGTAAATATGGTATAGAATATATGAAACTTGTGGTAGAAGACTTCCCTTTGTATTTCTCTGACCTCATCACACATTGCCTGTCTAGAACTCTTTCTCAGCAGCCAAATACTATCATATATACTTCCTGGTCTTGGATAGTCTTCTATATGCTGATGATATGGTAGAATTCGTATCTAACTACTGATACAAGTCATTTCCCTTAAATTTATTCAAAAAATGAGATGTTATATGCATTACAATTCCACAGAACAAAGTGGGGTGGTTATAACAGACGTCCTATGACATCCAGTCTCAATACATGAACCATGCATTGAAACGAAAGCTAGTTATTCAAGGATCTAAAAATGTACAGAAATACAAAGGGAACAGAGAAAGAAAAAGAAATTTTCCTCAACAGATTCTCTGAATATTTACACTAGGTATGTTCCATATTATCAGGAATGCAGTTGGTTAGAGAAAGGGCTAATGAAAATGAATTTCTGTTCATTTTTAAAAAATAAAATTATGTAATTCTTAAGGGGAATATTGAGGAAGAATGAAGCAACTTAATGAGTCTTAGTAACATGGAAGAGTACAAATAAGTACACTTTGCATTTGGGAGCAATCTCTTGGCAGTCATTTCTCCTTCGGGGAACAGGGAAGCTGTTATTCAAATTGATGGCTCCCAAAAGTAAGGATAAGGAAGATTTGTTTAAATTATTAAAATTAACATTCATTCATTGCTAAAATATTTAAGTTATTATAATGTGATTTTGGAGAACTTGAAAAACTCCTAAGGAGAGGACAATGGAAGACAAACTTAACTTTATATGAGTAGGAAGGAAGTACCATCACAGTTGACTTCTATGAAATAATATGCATTTTATCACTAATTTCATTGAAATAATATACTGGATTTCTCAAGAAAATGAAATAGGAAAACTTAGGCATCAATTTTTTAAACTCAAAAACATCTGATAAGGAGATTCAATTTCCATTCATCACTTCTACTATCTGTAGGATCTTGTCAGCCACACTCTGAAATGTTCTCAAAAAGGGGCAAGATACAGAAGAATGGCAGTGTGATGGACAGAATGACTCACAACCATCTACCTAAACATAGAGCATACCTTTTTTGTCCTCCTAGAATCCCTCTAAACTTACTGCTAGTATTTGATAAGTTTATTTCAAGTCCAAGTTTTGCTATATCATTACCCATTTTCTTCATCATTTCCTTTCCTTATTTTAGTAAGCTTTCCCAAAAAGAAAATAAAATAATAAACATCTATACCATCTCACATGTGCTACTGCAGCACCCTGAAGTTCTGAATGGGAATTTGAGTAAAGGCAGTAAAGCCCACCCCTAGGCAAAGAGCTACAGGTAATGAACAGCTGCTGAGAAAGGGAAAGTCAGTTTTCTCCAAGGTGAATGCCCTGATAAGTTATCCAATGGTCAGCCTTAAACCCATCTACATACTTGCAACACTAATAGACTTAGTTTTGTGTGTGTGTGTGTGTGTGTGTGTGTGTGTGTGTGTGTGTGTGTACAACAATAATTAAGAAGTCAAGAATTTAAGAAAGAGTAGGGGAGAAACATGGGAGGAGTTGGAGGAAGGACAGGAGTGGAAACAATGTAAATAGAGTACTCATGTATGAAATCCCCTCCCCAATTTTTTAACAAAACGTGCAATTTGGTCCTTAACATGTCTATTTTTATGTATAAAGGCTAAAGCTTACTATTGGATTCTCTGTCAGTTTTCATGTATGCTTATCCCCTCCATCTTTCTGAACCCAGGCTATCACTGTATAACAGTATGTATAATATTTTGACTATAATATTGGTGTCCTCCGTTACACTCCCTCTTTCTTACATACAAAATTCCACTCCCAACCTGTTTTCTTATACCTTCACTTGAGCTCTGAGCTGAGCTCAGTGCCAGCAAGGCCCCCGTCAGCAGGACCACCAGCATCCTGGAAGAAGTTCTGGAATTGCTATCAGGTCTGTGTCGGAGAGAACGAAACAGGGGCAGTTCTCCTTATATGGAGGAACAGAACAATGGTACTTTTGAGTTCTCTATAGGGTGACCTCACTACTGGCAAACAGGATGCCTTACATCCCTGACTTCTCTTGGGACTTGACCCATAAAGTAGAATGGGAAGGAAGGCTGCCATTGTTTTATTTATATATAAAAGGTATAATGTGTGCCATGAATAACATTGTTGAAGGAGTATTGGGTAAGATCCCAGCACATGTATTCAAACTAAAGTCCTGACATAATTTGAACTTCAGTTTGTTTAATGAGACTGAGTCTGTTCTTCAAGTGTGTGTTATTGTGGGGAAGGGATATTAACCAACAGTATTCTCATATCACAAAAAGAAGATAGCAGATACTTCTGACATTCTTTATAGCCCAAATTCCATCAGTCATAATGTGTGTGTATCCAGTATATATGATATTTAGTCATAATGTTAGTTAATACAGCAGTCATTTCAGCTCAGATTGAAATTCATTAGGACATCACACTTGAACACATGGTAAATGAAGGTAGGCACCCATTCTTCAAGATTATCTATGATATCCAGGCTCTATCCCTGAACAGTGAAGCCTTATGGTGCTATAGAGCATTGGTAATATACAGTATTCCAACTTGTTAATATCTATGGGGCTTTTGGTGCCTGAAATAGCTACAGAAACTACCACTTGGTTTCCATGGCAGTCTATTTTTCCTTTACAAATGGAATTATTTCACATTTCTGATATTACAGTGTCCTCCTCTTTATGAGACCATGCTCTACATTTTATTTTGATGCTATTTTTTCTAGGAAATGATTTAAATAAGCGCCACTTATACTGTTCTCAATTATACAGATGAACAAGATAGTCTGTTACCTTCTTTAAAGTCCAACTTGCATTGAGTAGATGCTCTGATTTGGAGTAATATTCCATGCTATTGTCTCAAATTGGCCTGAGGTGAGGAATTCTCTCAGAAATGTATTCCCATCCTCCTTGTGAGACTGACTCATTAACATTCTATGTTCTGACTCTGTCTTTCTGTGGTTATTATTTGATTCCTAGCATTTTTAGGATGTGCATCCTTCAGAGATTCCTTTAATCAGATGTTTTCCTACTTATTATCTCACTAACATAGGCCTGGCACTGAGCTCCACAGCAAATTACAATGCTGCATTTCAGCCTTGTTTTCGAAAGCACTGAAATCCTCATCTCAACTCTTTTTCCCAGCATGCTGAGGGGCAGTGGAAGCAGTCTCTCAACATCCAGATATTGTAATTTCATCAGGTCACATAACAGTTACTGGTATACAGATGTGTTCAGAAATTGTTTTCATCCAAGTAAGATTGGTTCTTGATTTTCAGTCCCAGATTTTGTTTTAATTCCTTCATCATCCTTCAAGAAGTTGTTGTTGTTGATATGGCTTAGAATTGGGGAAAGATTCATGGGATTCTTTATTTGCAAACTATTAGACTGTCAGCAATTTAGCTGATATGCTAAGGAATAGAAAGCAAGAAACTTTCAAAGCTTATAAACCAGTGCTTCTATTCCCATCATTCCAAAGAAGCATTGGAAAGGTCCTCACCAGACACTCAATATATGATGAAGCTGTGATCTTTCACTTTCATAACTCCAAAATGTAACAAACAAACGTTTATTATTTATAAAGCAGTCTGGCTGCCCTTCTTATTTAACTGAAGATGATCCAGGCAAGAAATGTTGCTAAGAAGTAGGATGTAACAACTCTAGTACTTGTCAACATAAACATGGTTTTCACAAGAGGTAGTGGTTAGAAGGGTTTGGGAGCAAGAGTGAGAAGCTTATGGTACTAGAACTAACACATGAAAGTCAGTTGCAGTGTTTTATCTAAACAATACTCTGTTTAGGGTCTAATCATTGGAAAAAAGAAACTGCCATAAATGCTAAGTTACTAAGTGCTATCTATGTAATAATGTGCATTTTCAAGCAAAAAGGTGTAGCAGTTGCACAAGGCTCTTTAGCAGAAAGAAATTTCCAGCTCTCAAAGAAAATCTGTGAATACACATGGAAGCCCATCACTAATCACTTGAGCAAAATCTCTCTCTTAAGGTCATCTCTCTATTGCTGTGGGATAATGCCCTTGTACACTGGTTTAATAAAACACTGATTGGCCAGTAGCCAGGCAGAAAGTATAGGCAGAGTGATCAGATGAGGAGAATTCTGTGAAGAGGAAGGGTTGAGTCAGGAGTCTCCAGCCAAACACAGAGGGAGCAAGATGACAAGGTAGAACTAAGAAAAAGTATCAAGCCACGTGACTAAACAAAATAAGAATTATGGGTTAATTTAAGTGTAAAAGCTAGTCGGGAATAAGCCTGAGCAAATGGCAAAGCAGTTATAATTAATATTAAGCCTCTGAATAATTATTTTGTAAGTGGACGACGACGAGGAGACTGCGGGTGCCTGGTGGGACCAGAGAAACTTTCTGACTACAGTCTATCTGACTTTTATGTAGATTTATAGACTATTAGAGAGTGATATCATGATTTCAGATGTCATTTAAAAGAAGTTTTGATTGTGTTCCTCCCTAAGAACTTATAGAAGAATAATAAAAAAAATCATAATGCACCTGACATCTTAAAACTCTAGTGATCTAAGACTCTAATCACTTTTTTGGAGAGAAAAGGAATAACACATTATTCTCTGCCTCTAAACTTCTGAAGGTAAAACTGCTTCAAGACTTGAGAGACTGCTCATGAAGAATTAAATAAGTGAATATAATATACAAATACTTTATCTAATAGACATCTTTTTTATTGATCTTCTTGCTTGCTAGAAATTCACATTTACTGAAATTAGAGGAAAAAGAGCATCAAAGACCTGGGCATAGTGGTACAATGTCTATAATCCCAGAACTCAGCAAGTGAAGGCAGAAGGATCATAAGGATCATACTACATAGCAAGTTCAAGGCCAGCCTGAAAACAAAACAAAACCAGCCTAAAAGATCCTTTCTGAAAAAGAAAAATAAAAGAAAATGAAAAAAAGAGGAAAGGTAAGGTAAGGAGGGAGAAGAACTCATGAATATGGAAGAACAACAAGAATTATTATTGTTAAAGAACAACACACTTCAGCTTGATGTGGAATCACATGTTCTAAATCCCAGCACTCAGGAGGCAAAAGCAGTTTGTCAGCCTGGTCTACATAATGAATTCCAGACCAGTCAGGGACATCAACATCAAAGTAAATGGAGAGAAACTCAAAGCGATTCCACTAAAATCAAGAACAAGACAAGGCTGTCTGCTCTCCCCATACTTATTCAATATAGTACTTGAAGTTCTGGCCAGAGCAATAAGACAACAAAAGGAGATCAAGGGGATACAAATTGGAAAGGAAGAAGTCAAACTTTCACTACTTGCAGATGACATGATGGTATACATAAGTGACCCCAAAAATTTGACCAAGGAACTCATAGAGCTTATAAATACCTTCAGTAATGTAGCAAGATACAAGATTAACTCAAAAAAATCAGTAGCCCTCCTATATACAAATGACAAATGGGCTGAGAAAGAAATCAGAGAAACATCACCCTTTACAATAGCCACAAATGATATAAAATACCTTGGGGTAACTCTAACTAAGCAAACGAAGAACCTGTATGAAAAGAACTTAAGTCCCTGAAGAAAGAAATTGAAGAAGATGTCAGAAAATGGAAAGATCTCCCATGCTCATGAATAGGTAGGATTAACATAGTAAAAATGGCAATCTTACCAAAAGCAATCCCCATCAAAATCCCAACACAATTCTTCACAGACCTGGGACATCTGGATCAAACCCCTTATCCCAAGGTTCAAAGGTCATCATGCAATTAGGAGGAAAGGTGTGGTGGTATTGTGTTCCCCAAAATATTGTGCATGCTAATAAACTTATCTGGGGTCAGAGAACAGGACAGCCACAATATTAAACATACAGGATAGGCAGTGGTAGCACACGCCTCTAATCCTAGCATTCCAGAGGCAGAAATCCATGTGTTCAAGGATACAGCCAGGCATGGTGGCACATGCCTTTAATCCAAAGAAGTGAGCCTTTAATCCCAGGGAGTGATGGCAGATAGCAGAAAGGTATATAAGGCGTGAAGATCAGGAACTAGCAGCATTTGGCTGGTTAAGCTTTTAGGCTTTGAGCAGCACAGTTCAGCTGAGATTCATTCTGGATGAGGACTGAGAAGCTTCCAGTCTGAGGAAACAGGATCAGCTGAGGAACTGGCGAGGTGAGGTAGCTGTGGCTTGTTCTGCTTCTCTGATCTTCCAGCATTCACCCCAATAACTGGCCTCAGATTTGTTTTTATTAATAAGACCCTCTAAGATTCATGCTACAGAAAGGTTGTAAGAGCTAGATGGAGTAGGTGTCTATAATCAAGCAGCATTTGTTAGAAATGATAGGAAATTTGCATATAGAACTTACAGTGGCTATCCCTGCATACATAAGGCCTTGCATATGATCAAGCCACTCAAAATTGCACTATGGATGAGGGAGGGACTTATGAAGTTCTACACTATCTGAGGAGTTATTGTCAATTAGTGGCTGCTCTTGTGGAGGCAGATAGTAGGTTTTTTCAGGGATTCAGAATTTGGGCCCTGAGAGGCTACCCATGTACCAGTAGATATCCCACACCCTTGCACATACAGGCAAAACTAACCAGACTCAGTTGGTACTTTTAAAGACAGGGAGGGCACATGAAGTTAGGAGGAGGAAAAGATGATATTGGGAGGGCAGGGAAGGAATTGGAGGGTTGGGAATGGGGGTGTAGATTTGATCTAAATACATTATATGTATATATGAATATTAAATAAAATATTTAAAATATTACTTTAAAATTACATTTAAAAAGCGTTAAAAGAATTAGCAAATGCTAATATGCTTACCCTGAAAAAAAATCATTTGAAGATAAACAGGCATGGTTCTCATTATTTGATTGCTTTTG